TTATCTTGGCTATGTCAGTTCTGCAGCGTTCACTGCCATCCAGAGCTTGAAGGGCAGACATTGAATCTGTGAAGGGTAAACATCCATTACAGTCTTTAGGTGGTATACTGCTGTTTCCAGTGCAATTATTTCAGCTTCATAATTTGAACAGAATTCCCCGCATGCATCAAAAATCTCTTCAACAGATCCATCGGGATAACCTATGTAGATTCCGTAACCTGCTTTAATGGTAGCTTTAAATGCTGATCCGTCAGTATAGACATGTATCTATTCTTGGGGGTAAGAATCAACGATCTTTAGTGATGAGTTCATAAAAGGGATTGGGTCGGACTGTTTGGTTTCCTCGCCTACCAATTTAATTCGGACTTCTGGAGCTTTAAAGCGAGCATGTGGTTTCTTGCAACATTCTGAATTCCTTGGCGTCTTTCTGGGAGGTGGTATCTGTCATGAATTTCATTAACACAGGGTAAAACCGATTTGTGCTTTATTCTTTGTTTGTATTCCCAGTTTTCTACAAGATGTCTATTAGGATGGTTACGATTTTTTCTAACGCATCTTTCATAAATTTCTAAAGTGGCTTTTTCTCTCCGCAACCCGAGGGGTTCCACATTTGTATGGATTTCACATGCAGCAGTTGGTGTAGACTGCATAGCTCCGCAGATTAATCGGAGGGCATTATTTTGTACTCTGTCAAGAGTCTCTAGGTTAGTTTTGGAGCAAGTTGTAAGCAGTGAGTTGTTGTACTCTATCACAGAGCGAACATATCCTAGATATAAGCCCCCCAGAGTTTCCTTGTCTGATCCCCATGATGTACCTGCAAGTCTCTTTAATAACTGTAACCGCCTCAATGCCTTATTCCTGCCGTTTTCAATATGGTTCTTGAGGCTGAGCTGCCGGTCAAGTGTGACTCCAAGATATGTGGGATGCTCTTCTTTCATCACTATACATATATTCATGCATACTAACATTCTGTCAGACAAATTGTGGGAACGACACCTTGTACTAGATTCATCGAGAAACAGTAGATCAAGTAGTTTAGCCATCTCGTTAGAATGCAGCAAGATCAAACACTATCACAAGCATTACATCTCAGAGAGATCAGCTACAAGAGCAAGAGGACAGCCGCGGAAATACGGATCGACATAATTAAAGGCACTCTGCGTCTTCACGGCATGACAATAGCCTGTGGCAGTCAGCGTGCACTGGATCGAAAATTATTCCTCCCCACGGGCTTAACGGCAGAATGATATATAGATATATATATATATAATATGATGATGACTAACATTCAGTGAAACATACACACATAAACGTGCAGGCAGACGCACGTCTTATCCTCTCTATAATAATTGTTATCAATAATTACTGGTACAGGCCTAAACAGTTTTTTTTTTTCTGTTTTTTTTCCAAATCTTTTAGACAACTGGGATATGTTGTGTTGCGCCTTTCTTTGAAAACACTACATTTATCATGCCACTACTGTACAGACACGAATAATTAATTATAGTCTGCACGATCGAAGATCAACGAAACATGTTTATTACGAAAACTAACCTGCTATTAGTGGGTGCGGTATAAACAGACTTCAAGGGTCAGTGTCGGACTGACTAGCAACGACTGTATCTAGTTAACTCACAGGTTTCATTCTTCAAGTCTTCTTATAATTATAGCAAACTTTACTTTTTAAGATTAATAATAATTATAATCAAAATCGTAGTAATTAATTAAATGTGGAGTTTAGTAGAGTTTTTAATTATATAATTCATTTTTCAGTATGGGAAGACCCACTACGTCCAACAAAGGCAGAGCATGTAGGAAAATAAAATGCTCTCTTACTTAAACATAGGGTCGTCTGAAATCCGTGGTATCGCAGCCTAGCTGCAAAGCACAACATAGCGAGCCCACTGCCCTTTAAAGAGTGAACGCAGAGGAATTCCTACCGGTCTGTGGTCCTGAGTTCGGATTACAAAAATTCATCTAGGTTAATTCTGTCTAAAATAGATTCCAGCAGGAAATGTATGCTAAGTGAAAGCGGCCAACCTGATACTAAGCACATGACTCACAAAGTGCCGATCGATTTGTAAAACATTTAAGACTAGCTAGATTGACAACCAGTAAGTAACTCAAAGAGCAGTTTTTCCAGTGAGCTAGATTGACAACCAGTAAGTAACGCGGAGAGCAGTTTTTCCAGTGAGAATCCAACAAAAGCAAATTCTAGACACCACGTTCAACCGCATACAACAGTTATATTAGGGCATACCACTGTTACAAAATAACTTTCTGTCCCATGTAGGCGGGAATGAAGTTGTTGGTTTTAAAATGACATTGAGAGTATGAGAGAAAGAAACAAATGAGAGAGAGAGAGAGAGTGAGTGTGTGACAGAGAGAGAAGAGTAATCAGTGAGCTTATCTGCACAAAATGTAGACAGTTGTACCCCACCAGGACATCACACGTGATAAACACCCGGTGACCCAAAGTGCCACAATGCCAATCGCAGAAAATTGTATGACTTAAAAGCTGCTTCTCAAATTTCACAACTGAAGCTTGACTTTTTGGAAACGCTCCATTTCCTTTAGCAGGTTGTGCTCTGATAGATAAAGTATCTGTAAAACAACGAACAATCCTCCCCTCCTCCCCCCTTTTCATGATAACATGCTGCCTTGTCTTTAGGATTAACATTTCAAAGATGAGAATCGGACCGGTATATATATCTCAGAAACCTCACTCTGTAATTCATTTGATTGCTAGTGGATGGCTCTTAGCACTAAAAAGCCTGACATATAACAGCATTTAGCTTGAGAATGGAGTAAGAGGCAGTCACTGCAACCTTCCTTTGGCTTCAGAATCAGCTGCAAAAACATGTGATTGTGACTGGCTCACAAAGCAGGCTGAGAAGATGGATACATATATGCTTTGTGCAGGGTGGCATGAATAGCTTCAGAAGTCCAGGGTAGTTAGCATCCTTTGGATATTTTCTCCAGGGTATAAGTGTGTGTTAGGAAATAAACAGGCAGACAGACTGGCTGGCCCTGCACCACATGGTGGTAAATTGATGCATACCAAGCTTGATGTTGTCAAGACTGTTTTGTGTGGGAGTAAAAAGTGCAGAGACGCACTTAGATTATCATGGTTTGAATAGAATGGTGCAACAGGGAATGACGAGGGGATCTGGCCGACACTCCAGACGAACTTACAATCGGATTGCTACTTGTATAACTAGAGTTGGAACTTTTTGCTGGCTGCTGAAGATGGGGTTGGAGTGCTAATGGGAATGTTCAGAGTACTGTCATGTCAGTTCTTAAAATTCAACTGAACTCACTTGTTAGTGATAAACGAGAAGCAACTGGCATAATAGTTAAGAATGGAGGACTTTCTTGGGGGAGAACAGGCTAGAACCCTTAGTAAGATTGGGTATTTTTTATGTCTGGGGCACAAATCTTCTTCTTCGTTCACCGGCTGTGAATTCCGGCGGAAGGTCCCGGTTAATCGTCCGCTTGTACTTTTGGCTTTTACCTGGACCTGAGTTTTGCGTGTACAACCGTTTTACTGGCTTTTGTCGTTCCCTGCCTCACGGGCAGATGTACTCCGACTTTGAGGGAAGACGTCAGGCCTATTTCTAGGATGACTGTGGCCATTGTTTTGTGTAGGTCGAGATGTTACCTTATTTGTGTGGTGTCCTCTTTGTCCCTTTCTCCACAGGTGTTGCCCCCGGAGTACCCCTGGGGCAGCCCTGTGGGGAATGGTTGGCCCTCAAGGGAAGGCAGGGGCAGATCATGGGCATTCCCCGCCATCCAAGGAGCAGAGCTGTCACATAACGCTCTGGTTCTGGGCTCACCCAAGGAATCGTCACGTCCTGCACATAACTGCTTAACCTCACAACCGTATTAGGCTTCCCGCTCGACACGAGCTACGCCCTCCGGAGATCAGCGGGGAGCAGCCCGTGGGTTCTGGACTTTTATGACCACACGAATAGGTACAATCTTTTTCATCGCACGATTGTCATCTTTAGCGTGCTGTTAGCACGACAGAATGGAGAATCCTGCATCAGGCATGTCTTTTTCTGTTTGGTCCCAACTCTCGGGTGAGTGGGGTCTCGGGATGTGGATATTTGGACTTTTTCCCAGTCAATACGATTTATGATGGTTGGATTTTGAGCTTGCTCGTGTGTCGTAGGATCTATTTTTGTCAGACATTTGGGCTTAACCAGCCGATGGATGGCTGCTGTCTTGGTGTACCTCAGCGCGGTTGCGACTATACTGAGGGTTGACAGAGGATGTACATGGGTAGAATCTAGCTGCGAGACGCCATTCACAGGAGATGTTACTCGTCTGTGCTACGGGTAAATCTCTAGGTCAAGGGTGGAGTCTCAGCAACACAATGTTCTCTTCACCCCACAAACTTTTAACTGAAGGTTGTCATTTTAGTTGTACGTTTGGCAAGCACTTTACTCATGTTCCTAATGAGTTTTGATAAGCTTTTTCACCCATGCGTTTGGGAATGGACTGATGAGAGCCACAAGGACACTACACCTCTGGAGGCCGCCAACTCTGAGATCTCCTGACAGCTCTGTTAATGCTCATTTAGGACATTATCCGTGGCGCACGACGAGGACGTGCTGCAGGAGTCTTGTGTGGGGTTCCATAAAACCAGAACATTGTACTGGCGCCCGAATGATGTACTGAGTAACTCCTAATACACATCCCGTTGGACTTAACTTTACGCCTTTGTCAGAAATCACTGCACCACTAGGGCACAAATAAAATCCTAACCCGCATAGTCCAGGGCCACAGCCCTAACCATGCTGCCCTAAATCCTTAGGTTCAAAGACCCACCTGCCTACACAGCACAAGTGGTAAATACGTGCAGTAGTGGCAGTTGGTGATAAATATCATAAGACGTTTTGATTACTGTTGCAATAATTAGGGAACTTTTTGTCTGTTATTTTGCAACATCTAACAACTGTGCTAACAATGTTTTAACTTGTTTCAGATGCTGTGCAATGCAGACACATCGCTTTGTTTCCCTGGAGACAGCATACGGCTCTATTACTCTGTTTACATCGTTGCTCCACAACATTTTCCTGCTGTACCACGTGGATGTATTCGTCTCAGTCTACAAGATCGATAAGTCATCGTTCTGGTTGGGGGAGACTATTTTCCTAGTATGGAACTCCCTTAATGATCCATTATTTGGCTGGTTCAGCGACAAGAAATTTTTAAGTCTTTCCTCCTCAAAGAATAGTAACTCCAGCAGCATTGTATGGACCAGACTGAAAACGTTACACCTTTATGGTCCTTTGTTTGCATGTGCATTTAGCCTGTTTTGGATAAACTGGGCATGGCCAGGGCTTCAGTTTGCAATTTGTTTGTGCCTTTACGATGGATTTCTGACTATGATAGATCTCCATCACTCTGCTCTTTTGGCAGATCTGTCAGTGTCTGATAACTTGAGGACAAGACTGAATGCCCGCAGCTCACTTTTTAGTGCATTTGGGTCTTTGTCAGTTTTCCTGTCATATTTGGTCTGGAACAAATCCAACCTGTTTGTCTTCAGATGTTTCTGTTATGGCTTGGCTGTCTTATCATTTGTGGGTTATTCAATCATGGTGAGAGTTTTGAAGACATCATACATGAAATTTCTCAAGGATTCCGACCCTGACATTGAAGTGTAAGTACTAATAACAGATGATCGTCTAAATACTTGAATGTAATATATATTGTGAAGTTTGGTGGGAAAAATAATGTTTAAAATTCTTTGTTCCCTGTGTGGGTTCTGGAACCCCATTGTGGAAAAAACAAGAATAGACCCACTGTCAACCTCAAAAACATGTCATAGGAGTCGACTAATTGGGAACTTCCTTTAAAGTCAGTGTGATTCTGCCCACACAGCAAGGAACAACCAACTGCCTAGAAATAAGCCAGTAGAACGGATGTACGCACAAAACTCGGGCCCTGGCACAAAGCCAAAGTCCAAAGGGACGAACAACCAGGACTTTTCGCTAGAGCTTACAGCTGGTGAACGAAAAAGAACTCTTTATTAGCTATGAAATGTATGTTATATTTTGTGGGAAAAAGGAATATTTAATAATGATGTGATGAAAACCAAACATCAAGAGATAGGCAAGCAGAGACGATAGCACAATACTGGACACATTCTGAGAGGAGGTGAACATTGAATCACCAAACAGGCACTGAAATGGGAAATTGAGGAAACGATTATACCTGCAATGTGGCTTTTTCTAGGGTTTGATTAAACTTTTCACACTGCTATACTGACATTCTTAGTTACATAAAGTTGCTAGGAATACATCAGACGACGAACACTCAGTTATTGATTTTTATTCGCTGTTCCAACACCTGCACTGTCCAGTCGCTCACTTGTGTTCTCCCAGGTGCTACGCATGGCTGATTTATGACATTTCCGACTATATCACACTGTGATTCTCTCTGCCATAACCTTTGGGATCATACATCCGGATCAGGCTAACATCTTGCAGTCAGTAGACATTCACTTCTGCTCTCGAACAAGTACACCTGGTCAGACGGTCTGCATTCTTCTCAGCTGTTCTCTTGCATTGGACCGCACACATCCAGGTCCAAACTTCAACTGACTTCCTACCCTCTCTGGGTTCATACCTTCCGTTCAAGTCTCACACTTTCCCCGTACCTCTATTCACCCAACACGGGATACTCGAGACATGCTTTCCACACTTTCGTCTTGTTTCACTGGTTCTCTGACCTTGCCCCCCAATCAGCAACTCCCTGGGATTTCCCTGGGAGTTCACAACATTACAATGCCCAAGAGAAACTCCAAGGCACACGTTGATGAGAGAAGCCAAGGATGCTGGACTCAATTCTATCCATGATATCGAGGTGATTGTACAGGATAGAATGGAATAGAAAAATAGACTGAGTGTTCTGTGACTATAATGACACAATAGAACAGCGAATAAATGAGTGAAATGTATGTAATAAATTTTGGTTTAAAGACAGCGCCTTATCACCATTCTTTAGTGAACTCGTTATGATTATCTGTGGTTCCGGGGCCCCATTGGGGGGGATAACAAGAATCGAGCTGCTGCTTCCCCAGCAAGCATGTTGTAAGAGGCGACTAATGGGGGACAAAGCTAAAGTCCAGAAATGGACGAACAACCAGGTCTTTCTGACAGAGTTTACAGCCGGTAAATGCAAACAACAACATTATCTGTGGTCTGGAACAGTTTGTTATTCTATATATACTTTATCTATCAGAGCACACCCAGCTACAGGAAATGGAGCGGATCCAAAAAGTCAAGCTTCAGTTGTGAAATTTGGGAAGCAACTTTTAAGTCATAAAAATTTTCTGTGGTTTGCGTTTCTTAATTTTATTCAGGTGAGCTCGTTGATTACTATCTTCCCTCCCCCCCCCCTTTTTTTTTCCTCTCTACCTTACACACATTCACCCACTCTCTCATTTGTGCACCCCCACACATGTGCATATATATACGTTCGCTCTTACGTGCACACACACGCACACACACACACAGACTGTCCATCAGTGGCCCCTCTTTCTTACACTGTCCTTTCTTGCACAGAAACATTCTGTTACACTCTCAGTACATACACACACATTCTCTGATCCCACTCCTTCTTTGTCTCAGACCCACACTCCCTGACACACTTTCTCATAAACATTCATTTTCTCACTCTCACATTTTTTCTTTCTCTTATGTTTCCTTTTTTTAATGCTCTCTCTCTCTTTCACTTTATCTCTCTCCTTCTCTTGCTCACACAGCACTCTTCTTGCTATTTACCGTCTGTCATACTCTCAGGCACCCCTCCCTCTCTGTTTGTCTGTCTGTCTGACACCCTCTCTGCATCTGCAAATTGAGACTTCATTTCCTGTGTAGATTCTGATGTCCCAATATGGGGGAGGGGGGGGGGGGAATAGATCCACTGCTATTTTAAAAGAATATTTTAAAATTCTACTAATTAGGGAACTACTGTACCATCACAATAATAAGTCATGCTAGCAAAATCCTCTTACGGATTATCATGAAGAGGATTGAAAGGAAATTACAATATGAGCTACATGAAGCACAAGTGGGTTTCAGACAGGGTAGAGGAACTAGGGATCACATCTTAAATATGAGAATAATTTTTGAACAATGTAGAGAATACTTCAGGCTTGTTTCATTGATTTCATGGATTCAAGGCATTTGATAGTGTCCAATTTCAGAAACTGTGGACTATTATGAGAAGTATGGGGTTTCCAGCACATTTGGTGCATTTAATTGAAAATCTGTATCATGAACAACAAGCAGTCATCAGGGCAGCTGGTGAAACATCAGATTGGTTCGAGGTGCAAAAGGGAGTGAGGCAGGTGTGCATACCCTTACCATACCTATTCAAAATATACACAGAAAATATAATGAGAAATGTCAAAAATGACCAGACTTGTGACAGTTATGATCAGCTCAAAATTGGTTGCAACCCTATTCCGGAACTTCGCTAGGCAGATGACACAGTCCTCCTTTCGAACAGCGTAAAGGAAATAGAAAATTTAATATTGTCTGTCCAAAAGCACAGTGAAGATCAAAATCTGTTCTTGAATTTGAAGAAAATGAAAAAAATGTCCACAAATAAAACTGGCTGTCACCCAAAAATAACAATAAATGATGAAGAAATTGAAAATGTCACAAACTTTGAAGAAATTAAAAATTTTGAATATCTCGGCTCTATAATAAATAGCAGTGGAGATTGTTTGACAGAAATTAAAAGCAGGATGGCCTTGGCAATGCAAAGATTGAACAGCCAAAAAAGTCTATGGTTAAGCACCAGCAAGGAAATCAAAATTATAATTTTGAGAGCATGCATCTTCCCTGTAGCAACATACGGATGTGAGTCATGAACTATTTCCCAGTCCTTAAGAAAGAGAATAGGGGGCTTTTGAGCTGAAATGCTATAGAAAGATTTTCAGAATATCTTGTACAAAGAAGAGAAGAAATACTGACATCTTGAAAGATCTGAACATCAAGGAAGATTGGCTAATTAACAGCATCCTGTCTCCGAAGCTGAAATATTTTGGTCATATCAAGCACCACGATGGATTGGAAAAAATTATAGCAGGAGGCATGGTACCAGGAAGCAAAGGCCGACCAACACGAAGATGGGCACAGGATATAAGTGACTCCTTGCGTATGAAAGTACATGAGGCGGTAGAGCTGGCGAGAGACTGAGTTTCTTTCAGGGAGACCGTGATGAGAGCGACGTTCTGCAAAGGACCTGCTACATGATGATGATGACTAAATAGGGATGATTCCTTTGAATTCGGAGTGCATCTGCCTGAAAGGCAAGGAACCAACAGTCTGCATACAAATAAGCCAGATCTGTGAAATGGATGTGCATGCAGACTTGTGTTCTGGAACAGGATCAAAGTCCAGAAATGGATGAACAACCAGAACTTTCCACCAGAGTTTGCACCTGATAAATGCTAAGAAGATCAGAAGCAGTTCTCTGAAGTATAACCATGGTGGGTTAGAAAGTGAGAATTAACTATCTGGTACTGAAAGAGTAGCTAGTAAACACAAGTTATAATAACCCAGTTTATTTTGTGCAAGTATAATGGTATTTAGATTTCTTTATCACCTTACTTCTGTGTACTTTTTAGCAGACAGGTATGTAATAGAGTTAACCCAGTTTACTTTATGCAAGTATAATGTTATTTAGATTTCTTTATCACCTACTTCTGTGTACTTTTTAGCAGACAGGTATGTAATAGAGTTAATCCAGTTTACTTTATGCAAGTATAATGGTATTTAGATTTCTTTATCACCTTACTTCTGTGTACTTTTTAGCAGACAGGTATGTAATAGAGTTAACCCAATTTACTTTGTGCAAGTATAATGTTATTTAGATTTCTTTATCACCTACTTCTGTGTACTTTTCAGCAGACAGGTATGTAATAGAGTTAACCCAGTTTACTTTATGCAAGTATAATGTTAATTAGATTTCTTTATCAGCAGACAGGTAAGTAATAGAGTAAATTAGCAACTACACGATCCTTCTAATACCATTAGGCATGTATTGCTAGACCCGTATTTTTATAGGTATATCAGCACTCGTAAACCAATGTGGTCAACAATGAATTGCCTTCGTCACTTCCTGACAAATTTTGTGTCACCCATGTTAGGCTGGGTTGACCTGGGAGCCAAGTGTAGTTATAACAGATTTGCCTTATTGAGGATTTGAACTGAAGCCCTTCTGACTTCCAGCTCTGCCATGGCTTCTGTCATACATAATTATTTTTAGAAACAATAAATATGTTAATACTTCACACTGTCAGAGGCCTCAGTGATTACAGATTTCAGGTATGCCCAGCTTGAAAATTGATTCCAGAAAATGTTTTGTAAATAAATGTGGATGGTGTCATATTGATCACCTCACCCATACTGTTGCCATTGGTGGATAAACTTATGGGGTATCATAGTATAGGGGAGCAGCTGGTCGAATGGTTATGAATTCAGGGAGATCCAGGTTCAAATCCGCTGTAAGTTTGTGAGTTTTTCTAGCAAGGGCAAAAATAAAAACCTAACCTTCATGGTGACGGCACTAGCCATGTGGCTCTAAGTGCTGAAGCTCAAATACCCTTCCCCTTCCTGCTGCAAAAGTGGTAAATACAGGCAGTGTGTGGAGTGAATTATGGATGTGGGAGACAGAGGGAGAGAGGGAGGATGAGAGAAGAAGGAGACAGAATGAGACAGAGAGTTCCCTAAAATGTAAACTTAGTATTTTTCTTTTTCCAAATTAACTGAAACGAGATTCACCAAAACAATGCATTTAATGTTTAGACTTAAACATTTAGTGTATTTTGTAGCTTATTGCACGAGCATTTATAACTTCCTTTGACAAATAAAGTCACATTTCTGAATCATTTCCTTTTTTTTAAATCAGGTTTTTCACTGCCATTTCAACTCAAATTTCTTTCCATTATTTCTGGACACACTGTTAGGAGAGGCTGTTAGTCCTGCCATTGCATCTTGTTTGTTGGGTAAGTTACTAGTTCTGTGCAAATCTCTTAAAATCTCCCTTATGTGGGTTCTGGGGCCCCATTATGGGGCAAAAAAGAATAGACTCACTGCTCTCCTAGCAGCCATGTTGTAAGAACCAACTAATTAGGGGTGTTTTCTTCAATGTCGGGGTGTATCTGCCTGAGAGGCAGCAGTCTGCATACAGATAAGCCAGATCGTAAATGAATGCACACTCAAAACTCAAGTTCTGAAACAAGACTAGAAGTGGACAAACAACCAGAACTTTCCGCCAATTTTACAGCCAGTAAACATGAAGAAGAAGTATAACATTCATTTGAAAAAATACGTTGTGTTTATAAAAAAAAAAAAAAAACCCCATTGAATTTCAGGCTGACTTCTTCTTCTTAAAGTCCATGCCATGTGGCGTTGGTAGTCATGTCTATTCACAACCTTCTGTCTCATATACTTTCCATCAATTCTGACACTGACTGTATTAAATTTAACTGTCTGTACATGAGACAGAAGGCTGTGGACACAGACATGATGACGACTAACGCCATACAGCATGGACTATTACGCTTTCAGTCCCAATCAGTGCGTCATGTGTACTAGATAGTACTGATGTGCACCTGTCAACAGGTGTTGTATATTTTTACATCTTTAGCAGGCAAACTAAAGCAATCCAACAATACAAGTCACCCACAATTTGCTGTGTATTTGGACCCTGTGGATACAGTATGCCCATATTTTTGTTGTCACCATTATTGCTTTAATCAGGCTTCAGCTATGACATTCTGGGACTGGACGGGATAAGAAAAAGATCATATGTTCAACCAAATGTCTCTCTGAAATTAAACCATAATCATCTCCCTTAAATTTCTTTTGAAAACACTTTGTTTCAAAATGCAGGCGACTCGAGGGATCCATGAGACAACAGGGAAAGAGAACTGACCCGCCAGCTAAACAGATCTGCAGAAAACGAGATCATTCTCCAGTGGATCCCGCCTCACTTTGGCATACCAGGAAGTTAATTAGCAGACAAACTTGCTAAAAATGGAACAAAGGAGAATCAACACACCCATCCATTGTTGTTACCAGAAATCAGAACACTTATCAAGGAAAAATACAAGGAATTGTGGAGAGAACAAACAGTAAACATCCACAAGACCCCATCAGCAAACTCAACAGAAAGCAACATACAACAATTTTCTGTCCATGAACAGGACACTGCAAGCTCAACTACCACATGCATAAAAAAAAAAAAGATTGTACAGTCCCCACAGTGTGCCTGTCAAACAGGACTACAAGCACCTGAGCACATTCTGCAGACCTGCCCACTCTAAATACAACTTTGAAAAGACACCTGGCCTTAAGAGCAAAGTGTGCAGAGCAAACTATAGGGGATCATACAGGACCTGCTACTGACATGCGAGTTCATAGAGGCAGCCCACCTGATGGTCTGATCTGAGCATATGAAACCGAACGCAAATAAGAAGAAAGTTTTAAAATGTGTGTTCTCTTGTCAAAACTTGTAATATATTTTTATTTTCGTCTTCTCCTTTAGGAGTATCTTTTGTTGCACCTCACATAAACAACCTTTACTTCCTCAAACTGTGTGAGAAACACGGAATTTATTCAGTGATTCGAACATTATTTATTGTCAAGCTGTTCTTAAGCTTTTTAATGTATGGAGCTGGACCACATCAAATCTGGTTGCTGTGCATTTTCATTGCAAGGTAAAAACACTCTTTCTGAAATCTCACTTAATATATAGTCTGAAATATTTTATATTTTCTTGTGAATTTCTGCTGTGGTATTCCTCATGTTGTCTCCAAAGCCCCATTTTTGGGGGGAAGGGAGGGGGGAGATAGACCCACTACTCTTTAACAAGCATATCGTAAAAGGTAGCTAGCTAATTAAGGTTTGGATGTGTTGGACAAAAGGCAGCAGATATCACAGCCTGGCTGTAAACCACAATACAATATGCCAGCCACCCTTTTAAAGGTGAACACACAAAAATAAGAAGCTATAATATCAGGTGTGACTACACATCACAAATAAAAGGAAATCATATAAGATAGCAAAGGAACCTTCCTCGATATAGCAGGCCTTCGGGCGGCTGAAAAAGGATCAAATTTTGAATTTTTGTTGGACGAATTGGAATAAGAAGCTTTTTTAATATTCTGTTTACACTTCCTTTGCCAAGGGAGTGTGTTGCATTATTGGCTGTTGCCTTTGAATCACAGGATTTTGTAGCTTGTCTATAACCTTTTTAACATCTGGCAGGGAATTTTTTTTATCTGCCTTTTTCGGTGGCCACATTCAGGTGTATTTAGACATATTAAAAATAATTCCACTCATGATTTATTAATAGATCTTATTTCCCTCAGCCTTTTTTAAGGCTAAAAGATTTAGAATTTATACATGTTATTTAATAACTGCAGCTTTACTATTCATATTTGGTCGTAATATTCTGCCATGTCTTTCAAGTGTCCAAATCAAATAGGACCTTTTTCCATGCCTTTAAGTATATTGGTTATGTATGGCTGGACCTAAATTTTATAGACCATTCTATATTTGGTGGGTGATATGGTCAGCATGACACCAGCCACCTTTACTTACCTGGACTGTACTTGATATCAGTTTAGGGCTGGGTCTACCTTTTTTGGAAAAAATCTGGCTCCTCCATGACTCGAACCCACGACCTTCCCATCTGCAGGCGAGCATCTAGCTGCTACACAACGACAGCTTCCAAACAGAAGAAAATGGATAAATCAATTTGTAACTACAGAATTTATACCATTGCCCAGTGAATGCAGCTTAAAGTATGACAGCTGAGACCCTTTTGTAATATTGCAGGTGTCTGTCGGGAGGTTATTGCTGGCAGAATTAGAGGACTGTTGGTGTTGGCACCACTGGTGGTTGTCTCATGCATTTACTACATGTGCAGGCTTCTGTATTGAAAAGAGAGTGATCTGTTTCACTAGACTTCAAATAGGACAGTGCAGCACACTTTGTGGGCTTTTTCACTGGCACTGTGATGGGATAAATGTGGGGTGACTGTTTTTGCCTTGATGTTGGAACCTCATCAAACTGCTAATGATGGCTGAAATGTTACTTTCCTGAATGGAATCAGCAGCAGTATTGGCAGTATATGCTAAAGAAAAATAGAAGTACAGAATATAAAAGTTAGTTGCATGTCCTTCACAAGACACTGCTAATCAACACCCACAGTTGATTTCTGCTTTTACTAGATAGTTTCCCCGCGTGGGTTCTGGGATCCCATTGTGGCAAAAACAAGAATAAACCTGCTGCCTCCCAACGAGCATGTCGTTAGAGTCTACTAAATGGGGTCTTCTTTCAAAGTCAGAGTGCGTCTGCCTGAGAGGCAAGGAACCAACAGTCTGCATACAAAAAAGCAAGATCTGTAAAATGGATGCACATGCTAAAACTCACCGGAGTCCAGAAATGGACGAACAACCAAGTCTTTCTGCCAGGGTTTACAGCCGGTGAATGCAAACAACAACAACAATTAGATAGTTTTTCGTTTGTAATTTCTCATTGTTGAAATCAACACAAAGTGGTCTTCTACCAGATTACCTGCAGTTGAATCAAACCAGATATTTTGAAACTGTTAACTGTGTTTATTGCTCCTTAGCACAGTAGCAATGGAATTTATTTATATTACTGAAAATGTGTTCCTAAAATGTATTTTGTTATCACATGTTTTCATTACATTTATACAGCAACCGAGTTTTCACAGAAGGCACCTGTAAACTTCTGAGCTTGGTGATAAGTGACCTGGTGGATGAAGATGTTGTACTCCACAGTAGGCCTCAAGCGGTGTCTGCTCTGGTGTTTGGAACTGCTGCCCTAGTTTCTAAGCCAGGTCAAACTTTAGCACCAGTCATAGGGACTTGGGTGTTGAAACTTCAGACAGGTAAGTGTTTGTGAACAATTATTTTCTAACTGGATGACTTCTAACAGTGCTGTATTTATAACTGACTACTTGTGAGCAAAGATAGCCACTATGGTATAGTGGCTAGATGATGTCTTGCAGATCTAAAGGTCATGGGTTCAAATGTGAATGTGGCCAGGCTTTTTCAAAAATAACTTTGGCTCCCAGGTCAACCCAACCTCAAATGGGTACCATGTATTGTCTTAGGAAATAAAAGTGGCCTGCATGGTGTTTACCACATCACACTGCAAGTGCCGAATGGTCTATAAAATACAGATCTAGGGCTGTACGTCTAACATGTCTGAAGGAGTGGATAAGAGTTCTTTACCTTTACTTGTGAATGAACTGTCTAGTGGAGCTAACTCTTGATTTGGTAGTGTAGCTTGCTAAAAAATATTAGACACAGTTGCTGGTAGAGGAAAGAGAATCATTGAGAGAGAGAGAATTAGTGAATGAGAAAGAATAAATGAGTGAAAACAAATAGGAGAGTGACAGAAAAGGGAGAGAATTTATGAGAATGAAATATAGATAGAACAAGGGTAGAAAAAGACCAGTATTTGTTTTGTTGATTTTTTAATAACATCTATACTGTTGCTGGTGCATACAGTGCATTTTTTTCCCCCTGTAAGATTTAAAAAAATCTATAGTTGTACAATTTCTTTTTAATATAAACACAAACAACAGGAAGCATTAAATAAAATACATTCCCTGGGGCCTATAAATATGTATCCCTTAACCTCTATCACTGAAGTTTCAAAGAAATTTTCAAATCAACTTGTCTGTTTAAAAAACAAAACATTGCGGTCATTGGACAAAATTGCTACTTTTAGTTAGTGTATTCATTTTCTGATTCCATTAAGTATTGTATTGCACAGGCACACTTAGAACCAATAGAATTATCTAAGCTTTTTAAGAACTGGTCGCTGCAGACATGGCAATATATTGGAATTTAAGGGCTTCTGTCACGGCAAACGTGACTCGATTTATGTAGTCTTTCTCAGGGTGACAGGGTTAAAGATCACTTTCACAAGCAGTCACTACATAGACTAGAATATGTCTACTGGGGATCCATCACAAGTCCCATAATGAAGTAAAGTTACCCTCGAAGTGGTATTTCAGTACTGCCTTGGGAGAAAAGTTTCTACATCAACTTCAATTCAATAAATAAGACACTGTTCAGGACTCAAGATGACTGGAATATTCATACATCGGGCCTATGAGTTAAAACCATGTCCGCCAGGGGATTCATAACCGACCTAGGTTAGTCTTTATAAACAAGCTACGTATTTCTTTAATATATATATACACCGACATCCTAAAAGATCTGAATATCAGGAAGCTCGGCTAGTAAATAGGATGTTGACTCAGAAACTGAAATATTTTGACCATTTCAAGCACAAAGCGGATTGGAAAGAATAGTAGCAGACTGCATGGTGCCAGAAAAGAGGGGCAGGGGCCGACCAGCATGATGATAGGCACAGAATATAAGTGATACCTTGTGTATAAAGTACAGGAGGTGAGACACTTGAGTTTTTTTCCGGCAGGCTGTGATGAGAGTGACGATTTGCAAAAAAACATGCTACATGATGATGGTGATTTTTTGAATATGCATTATTGTATCTTCTGTTGATGTTGGATTGTTTTTCAGAGCCACATTGAGGTTGACTTTTTCTTCAAAATTGACCTTGGATTCCAAGTTGACCCGTCCTAAATTGGGTACAAAGTAATGCCCTGGGAAGTAAAGGCAGCTGGCGTGTAGCTGATCACATTACTCATCAAGTGCTCATTGGTCTATAAAAATGAAAGTCTGCACTATATGTGTCTTTGCTTGCCTGTCGATCCAAAGGTTCAAATCGACATGAAGTCAAATTTATTTTCAAACATGACCTTGGTTCCCAGATCGACCCAGCCTTAATTGGGTACCCTGGGAAGTAAAGGCAGCCAGTGAGATGTTGACCACATTACCCTTCTGATGTCCAGTTGGTCTGTAAAAACATGGGTCTGACCTCATTTGATGCATCACTAGCCTGTTAAAAGGACCTTAACAAATAAAAGTAAAGGACCTTTTCCACGCCTTTGGGCATATAGGGCTGAACCTATATTTTATAGACCAATTGACACTTGGTTAATAATGTGGTCAGCATCATGCCGGCTGCCTTTACTTCCCAGGATTGTACCTGGTACCCACCCAAGAATGGGTCGACCTGGAGGCCAAGGTCATTTTTGAAAAAAGTCCCCGCTCCACCAGGAACCTTTACTTTTTACTATTTATGCCCGATGCTCCGGTGGCATGGAAAAGGCTGTTTATGGTTTGTATTGTGAATAGGAAGCTATCTTAAATACATTCTAAACTAATTGCTTTTTTTTCCTCAGGCCATGACATTTTCAGAACTGGTGAGGAGTCCGGTTCCATCAAATTAGATTTATCAAAAATGGATGCTCATACAAGAGACGCATACAGGAATGGTGTATTCTTGATGTTAATATGTGTACCGGTGGTGTGTGCATCATTCCAGCTGCTGGCTTGGTCATGTTACACGCTCCGGGACCAGCGTCTTGCCAAGGTGAAAGCAGTCAGGGCAGGGATGATGCATGTGGAAATATGACTGTGTTAAATTAGCTAATTGTTTATGAAATGGATTCCAGTAAATAATATGTGTATGTTAGTTTACTTTATGTTGGCTACAAAAGTGACAGCGAATGTGAACACTCATAACAGATAAGGCAGATAGAGGAATGTATGCCTATGCAAGATATCATGTTAGATCTGGTAATCTGGTAATCCTAGTTTCAGCTTCATAGCAAACTTGTTAGATAAAACAACATGCTTAAGGTTGCACAGATTTAGAGTTAAGGGTGGATCTGACAAGAAAGGAGTACATTTGTACAACCAGTGTGCTAGTGGGACAATCAACAACCCTTTTGCCCCATTAGTGTTTTTTTTTTAAAGTTTTTTTCTCAAAATTTAATTTTTAAAATGCACGCTTATAATTCTGTGAAACTCTACCATGAGAATCTAGAGGAAAAGAAAAAGAAGCAGAAACAAAATTTATAGTCTTGGTCAGTTTTTATAAAAATCCTGGGGGTTTGAAAACTAGACCACCAAGCAGACAGGCAAGTGTGACGGGTGAAGGTCAGTGCTGCTTATATTTATAAATTTATACCCCCCCTCCACATATACACATATACAATCACTCACACACCCACTCACTTAGACACATACACACACTCACTCACACAGACACTCACACAAGCAGACTCTCTCTCTCTCTCTCTCTCTCTCTCTCTCTCTCTCTCTCTCTCTCTCTCTCTCTCTCTCTCTCTCTCACACACATACCAAGCAGACAGGCAAGTGTGACGGGTGAAGGTCAGTGCTGCTTATATTTATAAATTTATATACCCCCCCCCCCCCCCCCCCTCACATATACACATATACAATCACTCACACACACACCCACTCACTTAGACACATACACACACTCACTCACACAGACACTCACACAAGCAGACTCTCTCTCTCTCTCTCTCTCTCTCTCTCTCTCTCACTCTCTACCACACATACCAAGCAGACAGGCAAGTGTGACGGGTGAAGGTCAGTGCTGCTTATATTTATAAATTTATACCCCCCCCCTCCACATATACACATATACAATCACTCACACACCCACTCACTTAGACACATACACACACTCACTCACACAGACACTCACACAAGCAGACTCTCTCTCTCTCTCTCTCTCTCTCTCTCTCTCTCTCTCTCACACTCTCTCTCTCACACACATACACACTTCAAGCCACTATTTTCGGCAGTCATTTTTTTTTTTTTAGTGAATAGGATGTAATCACCAAATATGAATATAGCAAATAATTAACTGCTTCTGTTCCCTGGGACCATAAAAACAGGGCTTTTGTTGAGAGAGCCACATGGAACAAACTGACATCATTATCAGGTTATTATAATGTCACAATGACTTCAGTCTTGTAAAAATAAAAAATAAAACTATTTTTTCCCCACCCATAACAATGTCTCAGTTTTGTGTGTGTGTAAATTTAGTCATACACACCATGTCTACACAATATGTAGCTACTGCCCAAAGATTTCATTTCATCAGAAACCTGTACAAGTTGCAAAACACAGCTTTTTCTGGGTGGCAGGGTTGGGAAATTTGTTGTAGGGGACAGGGATCTGTGACTATGCCTGGTGGGTTATGATGTTGATTCTTAAATGAGTAATTGGTAAAATATACAAGTGTAGGAAGGGTTTTTGATGATTCTTTATGCTGTTGATTGTTGAATATATTGTAATCTTTTTTGTTTTGTTTTAACTTAAAATGATTCTGCTTACCTCATTGGCTGAAACCACAAACTTCTGCTTATTTATTATATACACTTTTATTTAAAGACTAAAGCAGTAACATGGCTAGAGACACAGCCTTTTACGGGGCATGCTTTCTCAGTGACTCAGTGGGTTTCCTCAGGAAGATACAGAAGGCCTGGGTCCGAAGGCAGTGGTTGTTGGCTCTAAAGAGTTCACGGTTGACAAGGATTAGTTTCATTTTCATGCCAAGATATGTGGTGGTAAAAGGAAATGAGCAAGCTGATAGACTTGCAGGTAAGGCTACTGTGAAAGCTGGACAAGCCATGAACCAGGCTGATATAGTGAATGCTGTACAAGATTTTAAGACATTTGCGTTAACCAATTGAGAACTGTGAATCTGCAACCATGGTCAGACTGCAAGAACAGCAAGTTAAACAAAGTGTCGCCAAACAAGAACACTATGCAGGTAGCCAAAGAAGAATAATAAACCAACACAAAACTGGTGTTGTCAGCTGCTACATGCTGCGGGATTTACTGAGGAAGGGATCCAAGCACTTATGGACAGAGTGGTTTGACGTGCATTGAGGAAAATCTGTCAACTAACTAATTAACTTTATTTAAAGATTTATGTGATACTAGAACCACAGCAGCAGCAAGAAGAATAACTTTAACAGTGACTAAAAAATGACAGTTATAAACGGCTTCCTACACAGAATAATAGGATTAGTGTATCTGTATGATAGAACCACTAATGAGCTCAGGAAGAGAGTTAGGCATTGAGATTGTTTTACAATAGTATTTTCTATTTAATCCACCTATGAAAGAAATAGAGGAGACCTACAAATACACAAAAAGAGAATAAGAAATGGAGATGATTAATTTAGGAAGCAGATAAAAGCTGTAGGAGATTAGTATACGGGCAAATGATGGATACTAGTCTAAGGTTAGTATCTTGTCATCACCTTGTATGATGCAATGTTTAGTTTATTTGAAGCCTCATCCTGGCTTTTGCCGTAGGCCATAAATATAGCCGGGCCTGAAATATGGCCCCACGGCTGAATGGGGTTACCAGGACCTCTCCACGGGTGATCATCATCCCCATGGTATGACTTTGTATCACAAGGTGTTTATCGCTTGTGTGATGTACTGGTGGGGTACAACTTACATACATACTAGTCTGAGGAAGAAGACACCAAAGTTAATTTTTAAATGGCCTTATGCCTTCTTAAAATAATGAGGTAAACAGTACATTGTATAGTTTATAGCCTGCCGTATGCGAGGTGCATACCACATAATTATATCAACCGTACAGTCTGTTGTTTAAAGGTGGATGATGTGTGTTGGCTCCATCATTAATTTTGTATAGGTTTTTCCCCAAGGTGGGTCTGGGGCCCCATTGTTGGGACTTTAAGAATAGACCCACTGCCTCTCCAACAATCATGTCATAAGAGTAGTCTAATTGGGGGCTTCCTTTGAAGTCGGATTGCATCTGCCTGAGAGTCAAGGAACCAACAGTCTGCATACAAATAAGTAAGATCTTGAAAAGAAAATTGGAACAAGACTAAAGTCCAGAGGCGGACAGACAACTAAAACTTTCTGCCAGAGTTTACAGCCAATGATCTAGCAGATAAAGAAGAAGAAATATCAGTTGAAAAATATGGATCTAGCAGCATATACATAAAACCTCGTTTACACATACTCGCTTAAAAAGAACACTTCATTAATAAGAACAAAAAGTTGGTCCCAACACGGAGGTATTACTGTATTCAATCTCCAAGATTTTTTTAACACAAACTCAGTATTCGGTCCCTTGGAATTTATGTTTGCAAGATTTTACTGTACTTGATTTACTGGTGCCTATGCAGAATAGCAAGAATTAAATTATAATCGCAAATGTTGAGTTGTGGGAGAGAACAAGTTCCACTGGACCAAGAGGTGAAGAAAAAATGCTAGCGCTGGATAGGACATACGTTGAGAAAACCTGAGAACAATGTAACTAGAATGTCTTTTGCATTGGAACCCCAAGGGGCATAGAAATAAAGGAAGACTAAAAACTCATGGAGAGGGGATCTAGAGAGTGAAGTTAAAAACATAGGAGGACATGGGGTCAAGCTGCATGCAATAGCCAAGGATAGAGTGACTTAGTGTGAGTTGGTTGAGGACCTATACTCCAGTGGGGGGCTTAGAAGGCAGAAGAAGAAGACTGTATTTCATGGGCCAGTAAAATGTCTTTTACTTTACTTTACTTTTAATTAGGTCAAGGGGCTACCGAAGAAACCTGGCTTTCCCATTGGTTACTTTTATAGTGTATGCTGCTTCTCTGAAAGTAATGCAGTCATGATTTGTGTGTGTGTAGTGGATATTTACTATTTCAACCCCAGGAAGGTTAGATCTAAAGGGTGGTAAAGAATGATGTATAATCATTCCATCTTGCATTCGCTAGGCAACTAGGCAGGAACCAATGCACGTATGATGCATTTCTTGGGACTGAAAAAGTTAAAACTTATTGGTCATCTTATGTGAAACTTTCATGGCTGAAAGTTGAATGCCTTTGATCCACCCACTGGGCTACAATCTAGTAACAGAATGACACAAAAGAAGATGTATCCAGTTGTCTTTTAACCCACCATATTTCAAAATGATTTTAACTGATTTTTGTTGTTGTAATGTTATTTATTTAACCTGCTGTTGTTTTGTAGTACTATTATTTTCACAACTACTGTTTTGTTGTGCAATTTTGTTAACTCTTTTTGTGTTGTAAGTTTGTTAATTTAACTTATTCTGTTTTGTGTTTTTTATTATTTTAACTGCTTCTATGTTGTAATTTTAAGTACATCTGTTTTGTATTATAGTTATTTTATCTGCTTCTGCTTTGACTCTTCTGTGGTTATATATAGTGTTGTTATTGTAACTGTTTCTTAACCACTTGTATTTTAACTGCTGCTGTCTTTAGTACTATTATCTTAACTACCTCTTTGTTATAGTTTTGTTAATTTTACTGATACTGTTTTGTAGTGTCATTATTTTAACTGCTTCGGTTTTGTTTTATAGTTTTTTAAATCTGATTTTTTTAAATATTATAGTTATTTCAGCTGCTTCTTTTTTTTTTGGTAGTGTTATTTTAACTGCTTGGTTATTTGTAGTGTTTTTCTTTCTTTCTGTTTTTGTGTTGTAGTATAAATATTTCAGCTGTTTCTGCGTTGTAGTGTTATTATTCTTTTTCTTTGTTAATTTAATTTCTTCTTTAATTATGTTTTATTAAAAACTGCTTCTATATTTTTTATTGTT